ACGAACTGTTTCTGCGCGTCGTAAGCCGTCCTTCAGGACCCACGATGCTGGAACGCATTTGCGTCTGAGCGCCCAGCACGGCCAACGTTCAAAACACCGACATGAGTAAACCCTTTCGAAGTGTCCAGGATGAACATTTTCCAATCGTCCGCGGGTCCCTGCTCAAACCTCCAAACGCGGTAATCCTTGCTGTCGTTGAAAGCCATGTACAAGTTGTTCCACTTGTTCGTCTTCGGATCTAGTTTGAATTCATCCCAAACGCGTTCGTACGCACGTCGATCGTATGGATTGTTAACGACATTCCACGCCTTGTCCTGCGGAATCGGGGCTCTGATTTCTTTCAGGATACGTCTGATCTGGTAGTACACGTGAAACGAGAATACAGACCGACTCAGCGCATCAAGACGAGTGTCGTTCAACATCACCGAATTGAAAATATCGGTTTTAGACATTAAACACGATCCCATAAGTATAGGATATCTCAGCGCGACGCTGCACCTACGGCACTGAGTCTCGTGGTCCAGGAACACGCGTTACAAAATGCACCAACATAGCAATCTCCGACCTCGTGGACACACGCGGATTCGACGAACCCAGAGTCAATGGCAAACTGTACACCTTGCAACTGAAAGACAGCATTTACAAACGCTACAAACAACAACTAGAACATGAACGCGATACGTGGTTGGCATTAAAGAAAAAATATCACAGGGCCGTCAATTCCGTGGACGGTGTTGACAGCGCTCTGGTTTCAGTCAGCATGGGATTAGGCTTAGCAGGTATCGGTTTACTATCCACCATCGTGGCCGCACCCGTGGTGCTAGGCATTGAAATAACAGTCGAAGTGGCAGGGTAGATGGGATTGACCCTTAAGTATGTGTCTCGCAGACTGCAACGTAAAGCATTGAAACACGACGAAATTAGAATTCTAGCCGGAGCGAAGTTAAACACGATAGACGATCAAAATTCCATCGCGCTCACCGACTCTAAAATCTCTGAAGAAGAGTTTCGTTTGGTGCTATCAGACATATTTAAATATCACAGAATGAAACAAGAGATTCCGACCAAGTCTCGTAAAAACGCTGTTAACGAAGCAACAGGCCTGACAAGCCTTCATTACGACAACCAAACAAATCATAGGAGATTCACAATGAACTGTTTCGCGGACATCAACATAGCCAGCCATCTCAGCGAGCTATAGGTAAATAGCTGAGCCGAGACACACACACTGCGCCTCGCCCACAGCGCTTGCTCAATGCTACCGAGATGGCAGCGGGTCGACCCGGGGAAACTGCCGAGATTGCTGGTATGATCCAGTGGAAATAAACGTAACGTTGCCAGCCAGCCAGCCAGTTGGCTGTACAAGCCGAGCCGAGCCACACACTGCGACTCGCCCACAGCGCTCGCTCGGTGATACCGAGACGACAACCCGGAGAGGAAACTGCCGAGAGATGCGTTTCATTCACTTTCAGACATCTGTAGCCTCGCTAGTCAGCCGGCCGTGCATCATCATCATAGCCGAGCCGAAACACACACGCGCACACACTTATACTCGTCCACGGCGCTCGCTCAAAGCAACCCCCCGAGACGGTAGCGAGGTGATGATTGCCGAGACCTGCGTTTCATTCAGCTAAAAACACCTCTCGCCTCGATAATATATAACAAGTACGACAATACGTTGGATTGTTAGCCTTTCACCAGACCGACCCCCATGCTCACTAAAAAGTGATTATTTCCTAAACTATTTGACCGATTTCCGTGAAATTTTGCATGCATCTCGGCAGATGGTTACGCTATAGCAAAACGGCATTGGGAACACTCTCGATGACTTCATTAGATTAATTAAGACTTAATTACGACAAAAAGTCAACATTTCATAAAACTATTCGACCGATTTTCATCAAAGTTTCCATGCACCTCAGTAGTAGTATACACAATGGGGCTACGCGATTAGGTACTCCCAAGGGCTCAATTTAAAAACTGAGCCCTTGGTGGGGACCTGGCCCCGTAGCCCAATTGTGTATACTACTCAACGCCTGGAGCAGAACTTAGGTTACATACCTCGGTTAGCTTAATGTCGGAGAAAAACCGGAAGTGATATATGTTGCACAGGTTGTGCCTGTTACACTCACATCATTCAGAATACAACCTCTCCACGTACGTACAACGTATGTATTGACTTTCCATTCTCAGTACAACATGTTAACCCCATATGATGAAGCTCAGTGTGTTTGTATTCTCTGTAGAACCGACTATATGAATTAAGATATGCTTCTTCACCTTCTTTTTAGCAATATGTTCCAAAAAAGGAATGTATTTTTCTTTTCCTTCTGTGCACCATGAAAAACGGAATATAAAAATATATTTAAATTAATCTTAATTCAGTATATTTCTTTACTTCCGGTTTTCTATAAATACCTCATATATACCAAGCATCAGCGTCGGGGAACAATCAGTCAGGATAACCTGGTTTACAGGGCGTAAAAACACAGCGGTGAAAGTTATGTGAGTGGACCACTGATCAGTGATGAAACCAGGTGTTCGCAGAGAGGTTAAGCGTGTCGTGCACTAATGGTAGGACCCCCACTTACACAATTTCATGAAAAAGTAAGGGCTTACTGCCTGACACATCAGGTCGTAGTCATACGACGCAGTCTGTACCAATCGAAGTTCGACGAGATTTGACACAAAAACCCAGTAATGGACCAAAAGTTTCTGTGTGAACATATGCATCTTTACTTTCGGTTTTAGAAAGAAATATATATGTTTCTTCTCTTTCGGTTTTGCATGAAGCACCGAATCACCGATTGTTTTTGACGATTTCAAAGGCTATACAAGATGTAAGCTTCTTCAGGCTCTGAGACGCTGCTCAGTTAGACTAGTATCGTCTACGACCGCATCAGCACGTCTCCGCACTTGAAGAAGCTATGGGATGCTGGATTCTATTAGTCGAAGCTAACGGCGTTGTGGGAGGAAATAGCAGTAATAGAAAAACGTTTATCTGAGATGCTATGATGGGATTTTCATCAAATCTTGATCATATATTGATGGCTGCTTAACTTGGACGCAAGGGGCGTAATACGCTTATAACTTAATTCAGTATTTAACAATTACTTGGTACAGCCACTCAACTCCGAAATGAAGCTAATCAATCGATAGAAGTCAACAAATCACCTATAAGTAGGTCCATTATTCACATCTATTGTGTTAATGTATACCTTAATAAGTAAGCGTTTTATCACGGACCCTGTCTTTCTCCATCTAACAGGACAGATATAGCTAGGTCGCCCCCGCAATCTGTCGATGCTGAGGCCATTATGTAACCTTAGAGCTGCCGACACCAGTGAGCCGATGGCCTTATAATGAGTTTTAGATGGAAGTTATCGCACAAGTTCATTTATGGATGTTGGAAAGCTTAAAATATTCCGTTTGTGAACAGAACATTGTAATACCATGTGAATAATGTATGTGCTGCGGTGGAAAATGCATCAGTGTCGCTTACATGTGTAGGAAGATTGATAACTGATATTAGACCGATGCCTGAATACCGGTGGAGATTTGATCACTCTGATTCCGACAGTGTGTATAGAATGTGTTCTGTTCGAATAAAGTGGCACTTGATTTTATGTTTTATGTCTCTCTGTGTATTACTGGATATGAGTCGGGTATCGCACCGCTTTCAGTGGTATTCCAATTATATCACGACGTGTAACTTAGTGTGGGATGAAAGCCCGAAGTGATCCGGGCCTGAAACGTTTACCACTTTGGAGTGAGTGAGTAAGGCGTTAACCAATTTGGTGGAACCTACCAGCAAACATATGGTACAGATATAACGGAGACTGGTACTCACTATCATAGAATCCTTAACCCCTCAGGGGAAGTAATTCTTTGTAGAATTGTTTCAGATTAGACCGTTAATAATAATAATGCTAATTTTGCGCCTAGAATCCAACACGATGCTGCTCTCGGGCGTTACAATATTACCCTGACGGAATTGTACTTTCAAAGCTGCTACTAAGCGCATCGCGCGACCATATAGGTCCGTATGTCCGCTTCTCAGGTACCCATTTTGAACAGCTGGGTGGACTGAGTGCAATGTGGACGAAGTGCCTTGCCCAGGGACACAACACAGTATGAGACCCAGGTCACACATTTTAGTGTCACCTCCGGGATTCGAACCCGGGCCTTTGGCGTGAGAGGCCAGCATGCTAACCACTACACCACCGTTACCCGCGTATATTGCATGAATAAATAGTTAAAGTATTCAACAATATGTGAGTGAGTGATTGAATGAATGCCTGGGGAAGTGAATGAGCGAATGAGTGAGTGAGTGGATGAGTTGAGTAACACTGCTTCGAACAGTATTCCATTTACATCACGGCTTCCGACCCTTGCAGGTCGGGTTAGAATATTGATCTTCAGTAACCCATGCTTGTCGTAAGAGGCGACTAACGGGATCAGGTAGTCAGGCTCGCTGACTTGGTTGACACATGTCATCGGTTCCTAATTGCGCAGATCGATGCTCATGCTGTTGATCACTGTATTGTCTGGTCCAGACTCGATTATTTACAGACCGCCGCCGTATAGCTGGAATATTGCTGTGTGCGGCGTAAACTTAAACTCACTCACTCACATCACGGCTTGGCCTCCGAGGAAAGCCTGAACGGATACAGTGTACTTCCAAGACGAGTGGTTTGGTTTCAGGGTCAATAATATCCTGATATTTGATGGTTCATGAATGACATTTTGCTTTCTAGAGTAAACACACAAAACATTACAGATGCTGTGATCTTGGTTGCCTGGATTCTTAGGCTCAGTACCGGTATTACAAATCGGTTTACGGAGACTCGGGCGTAAATAGAATGTGTTGTACACTTGCTGCCTCTAAGGCTGAAATAATGTGTTGTCGGCTTGTCGTCACCCTGACAGGAAAAGTGTTCTCTTTACGACATATTATTGTTCTCTTCATCTTGTGAATGAGGCTTCCTCTTCTGTTTCAGATGATGGGTGTTTTCCGGGACAGTGATTTGAGAGATTTGTATAATGATACAGCTATATTACAAATAAGGTAAGACGAAGGCGTTCTGTTATTATTTCTATCTTCTCATTACGGACAAGTAGTTTTTTGCCTAATGTTTACAAGTTGTAAGGAAAATATCACAAGGATGGTATCACGACGTATTTGGTCATTTCATTGTTTCCGAGGTGGGGAAGGCCAGTGGTTAAAGCGTTCGCTCGTCACGCCGAAGACCCGGGTTCGATTTCCCACATAGGTACAATGTGTGAAGCCCATTTCTTGTGTCCCCCGCCGTAAAATTGCTGGAATATTGCTAAAAGCGGCGTAAAACCATACTCACTCACTCCGAAGCTGACAATCGATTGTCAGGATGTATGTTGTCCTTCTGGCCAAGGGTTCGAAGTGTTGCAGCTTTGACAGCCGACTTCTTGAATAATTGATAATCTGAATTGAACTTAGCGTGGTCGTGTTTGAATATTCCTGTTAAATTACCTAGAAGAGTTTCCGTGTTCACCCTGTCCATGGTCTCCTCCACAGTTATCAGGATTTCTAACATCCGATTGCATAACGGCAGGCAGTTTACTTATTCTCTTACGAATTACGTTTGGATCTTTGTCGAAAGAGCACTCATTTAATTCTAATTCCCACACAGCGTCTCAAACACGTTCATGTGTTGACTGAAAGAACAGAAACAGAACATCGTCACCCTTTTTTTTGAAAGAAAAGAAAACTTTAAAAAATCACGATGTAAAAATGTCGCCTCAAATTCTCATTTGGCACGCACAGAATTCCAAAGCCATGCTGTGTTATTTAAGAATATCAGTTAGCGTGGAACACTGGACACTGAACACTTTTGTTTTCATGGATATCAATTTGGGACAATATCAGTCTCAAAATACCACGATCATTGTCCCGTTCTGAACATGCAATAACAATCTCTGCATGTATGACATCATATGTTTAAGTTAATCATAATGTGTACTTAATCTTTGAGACGACCCCTGAAGCTCTTGTCGCCACCATTTCACAGGGTGCTTTGTCTCACGTATGAGGCAACATGAAAATTGCCTGTCAATACCTTATCGATCCGTGTTCCCTTCAATGTCAGCCAAAATTAGAAAATAAAGATTTAGTACAGTGTAAATATTTCTGCAGGAAATAGCATTAAGGCTATATTAGAGAGCAATCATTTGAGATCGGTGGTATGCAAGCACTTGCGCAACGCTCACAGTGGACAAGTTCAGTGCTCTTTCGTCACTGCATCCTCCATTATTAGAGAAAGACTTTCCACACAATGCCCCGAGTTACTTCACAACACTCAGGGTTCTTTCCGCAGCCTACTGTGTGCGGACTAAATGCCGTCATGTAGAGGTGGAGACGTTGAAGGTCACGTCACATATATATCACGACAGTGTTCTCACCAGCCTTAGAGACCAGAGTTGTCAGTGGTCACATGTATAAACAACAGTTGTCAGTGATCACAAGTATAAACAACTGTTGTCAGTGATCACATGTATAAACAACAGTTTACAGTGATCACATGTATAAACAACTGTTGTCAGTGATCACACGTATAAACAACAGTTCACAGTGGTCACATGTATAAACAACAGTTGTCAGTGGTCACATGTATAAACAACAGTTCACAGTGGTCACATGTATAAACAACAGTTGCCAGTGGTCACATGTACAAACCACAGTTGTTTTTTGTCACATGTATAAACAACAGATGTCTTTGGCCACATGTATAAACAACAGTTGCCAGTGGTCACATGTATAAACAACAGTAGTATTTGGTCACGTGTATAAACAAGAGTTGTCTTTGGTCACATGTATAAACAACAGTTGCCACTGGTCACATGTATAAACAACAATTGTGTTTGATCACGTGTATAAACAACAGTTGTCAGTGGTCACATGTATAAACAACAGTTGTCTTTGGTCACGTGTAAAACAACAGTTGTCTTTGGTCACGTGTAAAACAACAGTTGTCAGTTGTCACACGTATAAACAACAGTTGTCTTTGGTCACGTGTATAAACAACAGTTGTCAGTTGTCACACGTATAAACAACAGTTGTCTTTGGTCACGTGTATAAACAACAGTTGTCAGTTGTCACACGTATAAACAACAGTTGTCAGCGGTCACAGTGGTCACACGTATAAACAACAGTTGTCTTTGGTCACATGTATAAACAACAGTTGTCAGCGGTCACACGTATAAAAAACAGTTGTCTTTGGTCACGTGTAAAACAACAGTTGTCTTTGGTCACGTGTATAAACAACAGTTGTCAGTTGTCACACGTATAAACAACAGTTGTCTTTGGTCACGTGTATAAACAACAGTTGTCAGTTGTCACACGTATAAACAACAGTTGTCTTTGGTCACGTGTATAAACAACAGTTGTCAGTTGTCACACGTATAAACAACAGTTGTCAGCGGTCACAGTGGTCACACGTATAAACAACAGTTGTCTTTGGTCACATGTATAAACAACAGTTGTCAGCGGTCACACGTATAAACAACAGTTGTCAGTTGTCACACGTATAAACAACAGTTGTCAGCGGTCACAGTGGTCACACGTATAAACAACAGTTGTCTTTGCTCACCTGTACAAAGAACAGTTGCCATTGGTCACATGTATAAACAACATTTATCTTTGCTCACCTGTACAAAGAACAGTTGCCAGTGGTCACACGTATAAACAAAAGTTCACAGTGGTCACATGTATTTACAACAGTTCACACCCTGGTCACAAATATTAACAAAAGTTCACAGTGGTCACATGTATTAACAACAGTTCACTCCCTGGTCACATATATTAACAACAGTTCACAGTGGTCACATGTATTAACAACAGTTCCCAGTGGTTCCACAGTTGTTAGTGGCCACAACAGTTCCACAGTTGTTAGTGGCCACACGTATAAACAACAGTTCACAGCGGTCACATGTATAAACAACAGTTGTTAGTGGCCACAACAGTTCCACAGTTGTTAGTGGTTCACAGTGGTCACATGTATTAACAACAGTTCCCAGTGGTTTCATAGTTGTAGTGGCCACATATATAAACAACAGTTCACAGTGGTCACATGTATTAACAACAGTTCACAGTGGTCACATGTAAAAACAACAGTTCACAGTGGTCACATGTACTAACAACAATTTTCAGCGGTCACATGTATAAACAACAGTATCCAGTGGCCACACGTATAAACAACAGTTGTTGGTGGTCACATGTATAAACAACAGTTGTCAGTTGTCACGTGTATAAACAACAGTTTTCAGTGGTCACATGTATAAACAACAGGTGTTAGTGGCCACATATATAAACAACAGTTCACAGTGGTCACATGTATTAACAACAGTTCACAGTGGTCACATGTATTAACAACAACAGTTATAAACAACATTTCACAGTGGTCACATGTATAAACAACAGTTGTTAGTGGTCACATATATAAACAACAGTTCACAGTGGTCACATGTATCACATGTACAAAACAGTTCACAGTGGTCACATGTATAAAACAACAGTTCAACAGTTCAGTGGTCACAGTGGTGGTCACATGTATAAACAACAGTTCACAGTGGTCAGTGGTCGGTCATTGTATTAACAACAGTTCACAGTGGTCACATGTATTAACAACAGTTTTCAGTGGTCACATGTATAAACAACAGTTCACAGTGGTCACATGTATAAACAACAGTTCACAGTGGTCACATGTATAAACAACAGTTCACAGTGGTCACATGTATAAACAACAGTATTCAGTGGCCACACGTATAAACAACAGTTGTTGGTGGTCACATGTATAAACAACAGTTGTCAGCTGTCACATGTATAAACAACAGTTTTCAGTGGTCACATGTATAAACAACAGTTGTGAGTGGTCACGTGTATAAACAACAGTTGTTGGTGGCCACATCCATAACAACATTTGTCAGAGGTCACGTGTATAAACAACAGTATTCAGTGGTCACATGTATAAACAACAGTTATCACTTGTCACACGTATAAACAACATTTGTCAGCGGTCACACGTATAACAACAGTTGCCATTGGTCACACAGTATCTTTGCTCACCTGTACAAAGAACAGTTGCCAGTGGTCACACGTATAAACAAAGTTCACAGTGGTCACATGTATTTACAACAGTTCACACCCTGGTCACAAATATTAACAAAGTTCACAGTGGTCACATGTATTAACAACAGTTCACCCCTCACATGTATTAACAACAGTTCACAGTGGTCACATGTATTAACAACAGTTCCCAGTGGTTCCACGGTTGTTAGTGGCCACAACAGTTCCACAGTTGTTAGTGGCCACACGTATAAACAACAGTTCACAGCGGTCACATGTATAAACAACAGTTGTTAGTGGCCACAGTTCCACAGTTGTTAGTGGTTCACAGTGGTCACATGTATTAACAACAGTTCCCAGTGGTTTCATAGTTGTAGTGGCCACATATATAAACAACAGTTCACAGTGGTCACATGTATTAACAACAGTTCACAGTGGTCACATGTAAAAACAACAGTTCACAGTGGTCACATGTACTAACAACAATTTTCAGCGGTCACATGTATAAACAACAGTATCCAGTGGCCACACGTATAAACAACAGTTGTTGGTGGTCACATGTATAAACAACAGTTGTCAGTTGTCACGTGTATAAACAACAGTTTTCAGTGGTCACATGTATAAACAACAGGTGTTAGTGGCCACATATATAAACAACAGTTCACAGTGGTCACATGTATTAACAACAGTTCACAGTGGTCACATGTATAAACAACAGATCACAGTTGTCACAGTGTATATAAACAACAGTTGTTGTGGTCACATGTATTAAAACAACAGTTTGTCAACAGTTCAGGGTCACATGTATAAACAACAGTTTTTCAGTGGTCACATGTATAAACAACAGTTCACAGTGTCAGTTCACAGGTCACATGTAAACAAACAACAGTTGTCATTGGTCACATGTATAAACCACTATAGTCAATAGTTACATGAATAAAAACCATTAGTTGTCACTTGAGGCATGAAATATTTGGATCACATAAAATATAGACGTCCATCATTACCCAATGAGTTGTTAGCGAGTTATGCGATTATCGTTTGGTCGTTTCCCACCATAATCCTCATGTTTCTCCAGAGCTTCGACGGTCACTTATTCTCATTTCCTGTTTTGTATGTTTCAGGCCCGGTAGTGTAATTATTAGTTTTGTACTCGACTTCAAGACATCATTAGGTATTACACGTGACACAGTAGATCACGTCACCAGTGTAATACATACAGGCTTGGAAGGTTCCATATTCAAAATAGATCCGTCTTCACTGAAGATTTATCTCGAAGGTGAGTGACACCTTTTGATATTTAACCTTGCTCTTGTGGGGAGAAATATCGTACATAGGGGTATATATGTGTTGAGTTGTGTTTTTTTCTGGGCGTTGTCAGGGACAAAATATGTAAGAACCGAAGCAGGAATCATATTAGAGTGCAGTTTTCAGATACATTTCTTCACAGCGCTCGACCACGACCATGGCAGGTTATTACGCAAACTGTTGAGGTCTCTACATATGGTGATGCCATTAGATGTCATATAGATATCACCATCCTTAATCTGTTCAGATCGCATATAATGTAACTAATGTACTTGCATTTCATGTTCTACTATCTATTTGCCAACAGTTCATGTTCTGTCACCCATTTGATTACAGTTTCTATTCTGCTACCTACTTGCCTACAGTTCATGTTCTGTGACCTATTTGCCTACTATTTATGTTCTGTCACCTATTTGCCTATTGTTATGTTCTGTCACCTGTTTGCCTGCTATTTATGTTCTGTCACCTATTTGCCTATTGTTATGTTTTGTCACCTATTTGCCTACTATTTATGTTCTGTCACCTATTTGTCTCCAGTTCATGTTCTGTTACCTATTGCCTACGGTTCATGTTCTGTTGCCTATTGCCTACGGTTCACGTTCTGCTATATATTTCCCACGGTTCATGTTCTGTTACCTATTGCCTACGGTTCACGTTCTGTTATCTATTACCTACGGTTCATGTTATATTACCTATTGTCTACAGTTCATGTTTTATTACCTATTGCCTTCGGTTCATGTTCTGTTACCAATTGCCTACGGTTCATGTTCTGTTACCTATTGCCTACGGTTCATGCTCTGTTGCCTATTGCCTACGGTTCATGTTGTGTTACCTATTACCCCGGTTCATGTTCTGTTGCCTATTGCCTACGGTTCATGTTCTGTTACCTATTTGCCTAAAGTCCATGTTATTTAACCTTTTTCCTACGGTTCATGTTCTACTACTTATTTGTCTACAGTACCTGTCGCGTTTCCTGCTTGGCCATTGCTAATGTTTTTAAACGTAATTATAAAACCGACTAAGTCGACAACACGAAGCATACTGTTATGGTCATCCATTTATGTATAACATATCTCCACTTTTACGTGATTATGTTATATTTTCAGTGCCATTAACTACGGAAGGCCCGGCAATCCCTGCAAGTAAGTTTAGTTGTCTCCCACACGCAGGCTAAAACTGGAAGATACGCGTCAAGAACATACATCACCGATCACACAAAACCTTTCCTTATTACATGTCGAAGCATTAAAAACAAGAAGCGATAATGATCCATAAAATGAAATTGACTGGACAACGTTTGATGTGTAAGAGCGTCTCTGGAAAAGATTTCAAGCCATTTTTATTACAGCATTCATTCAATTGCAAGGTAGAACGCGTTCAATTTCGGAAATCAATGTTCAAGAGAGTACTTAGATACCTCAATACGACATGTATGATGTTCAAGCGGACACTGTATGTCAATGTGTCTAAACTTGGTAACGCTGCACCGTCTATTTGCACATGTAGAAGGGCACAGGGGTGAGCCTGGCTTCTGCCGCAGTTGGCTGTGCAGAGCTGCCCATCAGAACATATGGTCATCCGGTTCGATTCTCGGTTCGCCCCGATTATGTCTGATGCGTGTCAGATACCTTTGGTCACAGGTTTGAATCCCCGATTAGACCCCATTTTAGCATCGTCAACCTTATTTGATGAATCAGGCAAATGTGTGTTTCTCTTCCAGCATCATGCGAGCCGATGCGTCTCCACCCGTGTATCAACGGGACGGACTACCACAGCACCATGTACCCTAACGTGTTTGGCGACGTCACTCAGTCTCAGGCCATAGCACGATACAACCACTACAAAGACTTCTTTGACATTCCATGTCATGCATACGCAACTGATTTCTTCTGTTCTGCTTACACTCCCGAGTGCTACTTGAATAGGCCCATACCTCCTTGTCGGAGTTACTGTGAGGGTGAGTGTTACTTGAATAGGCACACACCTCCTTGTCCGAGTAACTGTGAGGGTGAATGTTACTTGAATAAATCCATACCTCCTGGTCGGAGTTACTGTGAGGGTAAGTGTTACTTGAATAGGTCCATACCTCCTTGTCGGAGTTACTGTGAGGGTGAATGTTACTTGGATAGGTCCATACATCCTTGTCGGAGTTATTTTGATCGTAAGCGTTACTTGTACAACCCAATACGACAGGTACTTGAACAAATCGTAATTCCAAACCGGCGATAACTGTGTCAGTGTCATATGAGAATCGGGATGAACACTCTTTGGTTATTTCCAAATACTTCATCACACCAGCATTATTTGAAAACAAGCCTTGTGTTTGTGTGTATTGTCAGAGGTGCGGTCCCGGTGTGTGGGTGCTTACTCTGCCAACATCACATTCCCCGTTGACTGCTCCAGGCTGCCCGAGTCCTCCAACCCCACAGTGTGCAGGCCAAGCTTGTACAAACGTAAGTACGACCCGGATATATGGAGTGAGTGAATGAGTTTAGTTTTACGCCGCTTTTAGCAATATTCCAGCCACGGCGGGGGACACTAGGTCTTCACACATTGTACCCATTATCCGGATATAAGTGGACTGTAAACGTTTTCCTGTTGTCAGACTATCCTGCATTCGGTATATACTTTTATCAAAATCATGATGTGAGTTGGGATGGGATGCTGGTGGCCCAGTAAGCGCTGCAATTCGCTGTTAGAGTTACGTCCCTTCGGGCACACTAGGAACCTTTGCTTATAGATTCGAATCCCAGTTCGCATGGACTATGTTTCAGGTTTATCAGTACCAAACCTTTTCATGAATTTCACCACATTGGTAAAGGTCACTTTGTCACTGGAATAGGCATCAAACCCTCTTCACTCACTGAAACAGTCAGTATGCAGATAGAAACTGAAACATATTTTCTGTATATTTCTCCAGCGGGGAAGTGTATACCAGTGCAGGAAGAGCTGTGTGAGGACATTGGCTACAATTACACCTCCTTCCCCAACACCGTGGGCAGCTACGGGGAGAAGGAAGTCAAAAGCAACCTGACCTTGATTATCAAGGGAATCCAGTTTGCCACCCACTGCTTCAAATACGCCCGACTGTTCATCTGTGCTGCCTTCGTCCCCAAATGCAGTGGGACAGGTCACGTGCCCAATCACATCATCCCGCCCTGTCGCAGTCTGTGCGAAGGTAAGAAGCACCATTAGTTATTTTTGCGTTATTTGATTCTTTGTTCATTGTCTGAGACACACTCACTCATGATAAAGACATCGTCACTCAACGTGAGGGTCAACGTTGGAAACAGTGGTTTCGAGATTTGGAGCCGTATTGAGAGGAAATGGTTTAATTTAAATAAGGTAATACTTGAATCAGTGAGGCGCTTTTGTGGGGAAAAAGCGGAACTCACACATGGGTGATACTTTATATATTTTGGCCACACTTTCTGTATACCATCAATACTTTGCTGTCATTATAGAGTTCAAGTCCCGCTGTGAGATCTACCTGCACATCTTCTACCTTGGGTGGCCTCCCGGTATGAACTGTTCCGCCTTCCCAGATTCCCCGGATGAAAACATCTGTATTGGCTACGATGAGGCCCACGAAATACCGGAGAAGGGAGGTGAGGCCAGTAGTGTCTCTTCTAGACTAGATCCACTCAAATACCCGTGAAGATCCGGGTTACAATTCATATTCAGCAACCCGTGCTTGTCGTAAGGGCGACAAACGAGATCGGTTGGTCAGGCTCTCTGACGTGGCTGATGCATGTCATCGTATCCCAATTGCGTAGATCGATGTTCATGTCAGTAAAACAACCCGTACAGGGTAATTGCATTAATGGATGACTACATTATTTGAAATTGGCCTATTTAGGAATGTATGGATATTTACTTTACTTTAGAATTACATGTTTATCGATTCTCGGTGTGGTTACTCTGAAAGCCACAGTGTCCTTGGGGCAGGCTGAAGATGTTGTTTCACTCAACTTTACTTGTTCAACTATATACTGTAAACTGAAGAGCAAAACAAGTATACCAAATCAGGTTTTTATGTACATTGTACTTGAAAATTGCTGGAACTGCTGTTAAATTCGATTATGTCTCTTTTATAAATATTCTTTTCTCCAACATTTTGCAGAAAAGTAAACTGTGGAAAGGTAATTGTGTGTAAAAAGAAATCAGTTCAGTGAGGACTTGGGCAAGAAATGAATTTGCAACAAAATGAGTGCTATTATGTTAGAATTTTTCTGAATCTATGCCGAAAAAAGCTAATTTATTGATTTTCAAACGTAAGATATGTACAATTAACCACCAGCGGGTATGCGAACAATATCTTTCAATTTTTAAAAATAAGTCTAAAAGTACTTTAAAATATAGAACGATGTTGAAGTATTATCGTTGAACGCTAAGCACAAGGACAGTTCATTTCTCGGGTATGGACTTAAGATATTTTCATTCGAACATTGTTAACATCAACCGAAAGTAGTAGTTTCGTTTGCTGCTCAGTTTAATTCATCACTCGCTATATACTGAACTAAAGAAGTTAGGAATCGTGAATATTTTTGAATATTCACTCCCATTCCCTCAAATTGTCCATGATTCCTGACGAGAGCCCCAGTTGCCTAAAGTGCCGCCATTTGAGTCGTGTCACTTGGGTGCACTGGACACCCATGGTTGTGGGTTCGAATCCCATTTCGCGATCATGGTTCAAGGTTTGTCGGCTCACCAAAATGGTTTTTCCTCCCTTATTTGAACTGATGCTGTGATACAGAGCGGCAACTATCTAACTCACTCACAAAAGAGCTTTAGGAGTAACATTTCATTTGATTAGCTTTTAGGTAGCTCTAACTAAATACTTTATTAGTACATAAGCACCTTCACTTTGACAATTTATCTGATGTTACCCGCAGTCCCATAACGAGGCTATCGGTGATGGATTTCTAGAGGCAGTACATATTAATTCTGGGTCGATTCGATTATGTTTCAGGTTTATCAGTACCAAACCTTTTGTCCTGAATTTCACGACATTGGTAAACGTCACTTTGTCACTGGAATATGGTATACAGAGCATTAAACCTTCTTCACTCACTGAAACAGTCAGTATGCAAATAGAAACAGTGACATATTTTCTGTATATTTCTCCAGCGAGTATACTTCTCCAGGAAGTGTATACCAGTGCAGGAAGAGTTGTGTGAGGACATTGGCTACAACTACACCTCCTTCCAGGCAGCTTTAATTAAATACTTTATTAGTACATAAGCAGCTTCCATTTTGACTATTTATCTGATGTTACCCGCAGTCCCATTATATTAATACTGGGTAAAACACGAGGCTTTATGTCCCTTGATGAAAACACGAACAAGCGGGGACCAGAATTGCTTTCACATTGTTTTCCAATCAACGGTAACACCAAAGATCCGACCCCTCGCCGAGTTTGAGGAATGGCTAAATAATGACAGCAAGACATTGTTGGGAACTTAGGGCTACACCAAGTGGACATAAGACATGCTTGATGGGTAGTTGATAGCGAAGCTCTGGGTGGTGTTTGCCAAGCATCTAGCGGTTCCAGCCGCAATGCGCGGGATGCGGCGTTCTGACGCCGGCTTTAAGAAGTCTTATTGGGTCTCGGTTTACACTGGGACAGTCTTCTGTACAAATATGTTCCTTTGCCGTAAAAATGCAGATACTCAAATCCGAAGGGACATACTAGCCCGTGAGATGTTGTTCTTATCGAGTGGTAGCCCGCGTAGACACATTGCAAATACCTATAGCGCTGCTGATCATGTTTACAATTGATCCTGGGCAACCCTTGTTGTCTTAAGTGGCGACTAACGGAATCGGGTGGTAAGGTTCGCTGACGTGTTTGGCACATGTCATCGTATCCCAGATTGGTAAATCGATGCTCATGATTTCTATCACTAGACTATCTCGTCCAGAGTCTATAATTTACAGAATGCCGCTAAACCGGTGTTAAACAACTAACAAACTGCAAGTACTTAGAATTGGAAGAGTGTCTGGATGTATGTATGTTTTATCAGTGGAAACAAACTAGTGTTTTAATTCAGAATGTCGGCATGTCGGATAACTTACACCACACTGGTTTACACCGGTTTGTTTGTGACACAGCCTGCACAATGGGATGAGTGAGTCAGTCGGGTTTTATGGCACTTTAAACTGTATTCCAGTTACATCACGACGTGGGGGCTGAACTTGGGAGGTAACACAATGTGATGTAGGTCTAATAACTTTGACGAAACCCACGCTCTTGATGCACACGGGTATGGTGCAGACAAACCGAAAAACTGGAATTGAACCCATAATCATATGTTTCTGTCGTCTTCGGGGGTAGCAGTCCTACACAGAACATGAGACTAGTGGGCCAGCCGTGCCTCATACAAATAATCAGACGCAGGTTTGCACTAAGCACACAGCTGCAAGAAGTTTGTGTGAATCGCCAAAGAACTTCATTTCGTTAAGATATTCGTTTCATATTTATTGCTTTTCCAGTTTGTTCACACAAACTTTATTCACACTACTCGTCAGTAAATCCAGAGTAAATAGAGTGTGATCTCATTCCAGCATGTAAGCGTGACGAATTCCGATGTGACAACGGCACGTGTATCTCCACCCTCTGGGTATGCGACGGCTACCAAGACTGCGCCGACAACATGGACGAGCACCACTGCGGTGAGCACCAGAATGGGGTATTCTATCCCAAGAGGGTGTGGATGTATGAGGTAAACGGGTTGCTGGGTATGTCTTGGGTGGACATTTGGTGATAGTTTTCCTGCACGATGTGTCCAGACACAAGAACGTGAACGTGAACCGTATGTCTCATCGGGTTTAGAAAACAAGTAAACTGGCGTACAAAAGAAAGTACACACCTGGTGCTTTTGGATTACTTTCCAAAAAGCGACGTAAATGTTGTGAAAAGAGTTTTTACAATGATATATAAGTCACAGACTTTCCTAATATGTTGCCAAAACACTACAGATATCGTGCCCAATTGCGAAGTTGACAGTCAAAATCACAACACTTTTCAAATAATCCTAAAACCCCAGGTGTGTACTTTCTTTTCTACGTCAGTTTAGCACATGTCTATTTCATTCTTTTCTTGAAATCAAGGTTTTATCACACACTTCAAGAAGAGCTGGTATCTTTTTATTGTGTGACAGCTGGTATAGACAGCGATTTGTTTGTATAATTCTAAGATCATAAAGTTGCTGTTGCTGCCTTGCAGATTGCAAGGTTTGGGGTCAGCGTTTTTAGATAATATATCTGCATTTGGAAAATTTCAACAGGCAGCATAACTTTGGCGCCGTATTGATGCCTCATATGAAGGTTTTCTCGTCTTTTCAGCAACTTGCGCTTCCAATGAGCATCTGTGCTCCGGAAACAGGATGTGCGTCAACAAGAACTCCGTCTGTGACGGCGTCACTGACTGTGTCGGCGCTGTGGAAGAATCGGAGTGCGGTAGGTTAAAAAGACTGATCGGGCAACTGGGATTGTCACGATAATGAAACCACTGACAAGCGTTGGTTTTTGTTGTTTTCATTTCTATAGGTAGCTAAAGAACAATGCTGTATAAAAAGTTAACAACAAACAAGTCTCGGTTCTCCGCTGAAACCGATTCCACTGGGCGTAAAGAGGGGAAATTACATAAACATCGAATGAATGGATAGTTGAAGATCAGTAATAACACCAAGTGTGATGCCACCATCACTCATGAAGTAAAACCGGTGTCATTTTGGACATTACGAATATTTATACAGAATTGTATCTTTCTTAGAATTCTTTTTATATTTAAGGTAATCAATTAGTTTATAACTTACACACCTTCATTTTTCTATTTTCTCCCAAATGTATGTTTGAGTTTGTTATACAGGTGAAAGGTATGCTTAGCCCAATATGGGAACAAAATAGCGAACAAAGCCACCTACGATTAATAAATTCCAACATTGCTGGCTACAGTTCGCCTGGGGACACGCGCCCAACAGAAGGTGGTGGAGGCCAGGAACCCGGACACGAACAAGTGGCACCCCGTGTGCTCGGACGGCTGGAACATGACCTTCAGCAACATCGTCTGTAATCAACTGGGCTACAGGTAAAAACTTTCACGCCATTCAGCAACATTGTCTGTAATCAAATGGGTTACAGGTAACTACTTTAATGCCGTTCAGCAACATTGTCTTTAATCAAATGGGTTACAGGTAGCTACTTTAATGCCATTCAGCAACATTGTCTGTAATCAAATGGGTTACAGGTAGCTACTTTAATGCCATTCAGCAACATTGTCTGTAATCAACTAGGTTACAGGTAACTACTTTAATGCCATTCAGCAACATTGTCTGTAATCAACTAGGTTATAGGTAGGTAGCTACTTTAATGCCATTCAGCAACATTGTCTGTAATCAACTAGGTTACAGGTAGCTACTTTAATGCCATTCAGCAACATTGTCTGTAATCAACTGGGTTACAGGTAGCTACTTTAATGCCATTCAGCAACATTGTCTGTAATCAACTAGGTTACAGGTAACTACTTCAATGCCATTCAGCAACATTGTCTGTAATCAAATGGGTTACAGGTAACTACTTTAATGCCATTCAGCAACATTGTCTGTAATCAACTAGGTTACAGGTAGCTACTTTAATGCCGTTCAGCAACATTGTCTGTAATCAACTGGGTTACAGGTAACTACTTTAATGCCATTCAGCAACATTGTCTGTAATCAACTAGGTTACAGGTAGCTACTTTAATGCCATTCAGCAACATTGTCTGTAATCAACTAGGGTTACATGTAACTACTTTAATGCCATTCAGCAACATTGTCTGTAATCAACTAGGTTACAGGTAGCTACTTTAATGCCATTCAGCAACATTGTCTGTAATCAACTAGGTTACAGGTAGCTACTTTAATGCCATTTAATTGTCAAATGGGTTACAGGTATTCCATTCAGCAACATTGTCTGTAATCAACTAGGTTACAGGTAGCTACTTTAATGCCATTCAGCAACATTGTCTGTAATCAACTAGGTTACAGGTAGCTACTTTAATGCCATTCAGCAACATTGTCTGTAATCAACTAGGTTACAGGTAACTACTTTAATGCCATTTCAGCAACATTGTTTCAATGTCAGGTAGCTACTTTAATGCCATTCAGCAACATTGTCTGTAATCAACTGGGTTACAGGTAGCTACTTTAATGCCATTCAGCAACATTGTCTGTAATCAACTGGGTTACAGGTAACTACTTTAATGCCATTCAGCAACATTGTCTGTAATCAACTAGGTTACAGGTAGCTACTTTAATGCCATTCAGCAACATTGTCTGTAATCAACTAGGTTACAGGTAACTTACAGGTAGCTTTTAGTAATGCTTTAATGCCATTCAGCAACATTGTCTGTAATCAACTAGGTTACAGGTAGCTACTTTAATGCCATTCAGCAACATTGTTTGTAATCAACTAGGTTACAGGTAACTACTTTAATGCCGTTCAGCAACATTGTCTGTAATCAAATGGGTTACAGGTAGCTACTTTAATGCCATTCAGCAACATTGTTTGTAATCAACTAGGGTACAAGTAACTACTTTAATGCCGTTCAGCAACATTGTCTGTAATCAACTAGGTCACAGGTAACTACTTTAATGCCATTCAGCAACATTGTCTGTAATCAACTAGGTTACAAGTAACTACTTTAATGCCATTCAGCAACATTGTCTGTAATCAACTAGGTTACAGGTAACTACTTTAATGCCATTCAGCAACATTGTCTGTAATCAACTAGGTTACAGGTAACTTTGCTACTTTAATGCCGTTCAGCAACATTGTCTGTAATCAAATTGGGTTACAAGTAAATACGTCGATGTCGACCAGCACCATCGTCTGTTATCTGCAAAATTACGGGTAAATACTTATCAGTTTCTCAGCAACATCATCATTTAATCAGGTCGGCTACAGGTAAACACGGGTACATTTGTTTAGCCCAGGAATGCTTTCCCTATGAGACAATGGGTGGTATACATGGTGTGAGTGATGCATTGAAGGCTAAAAACATACACTCTGAGAACAAAATGACTAATAAAGAAAATGAAAACCTAATGAAGGGGCAAGAAGGAGCCCAGAAACGTCGTGTTTTAAATAATAAAGAAGTTGTAAATCCATACCATAGGTCTCGTGTTGTTATGATACAATGAACATTGTTAAAGCAAAGTGTCCGGATGATTTGCATAAGTTTCAGTTCATGACGAATCATGGGCTCGTGATGTTGACGTGTCAACTACTCACTAACCCTTCTCTGTGTTTGTTGCTAGGATCGTACACAGCACGGTGTTTAAGGCAGGCTCAAGTCGACCGACTGTTGTCCTGCAACCACGCAACAAGAACCAGGACCCGCGGAAAATACAGAGCTATTTCAACTGGACGTGAGTTCACTCACACCCACTCCATTTGGCCTCACCTGATTCGTAGTTCAAAATTAACCACATTCTTGTAAAAAATACAAATCTCTACTTTAACAGACACATCTTGATATCTAATATGTCTACTCAAGGACCAGTCTGGATTGTCCTTCGAACCGGTTTTGAACCGAGAGGTTTTATATGAACAAATAGGCTTCAAATTGTCGTATATGTATGTCTTGTTTGAAAGTTAATGGTCATTGTTATTTTCAGGTCTACCTGCTCAAACAATGAGCATGTGAACATCATGTGTGAAGATCCAAGTAAGTCATATCACGTTTCCTTAAGCTACCTGTCTTCGTAATGGCCGCTTCATCGTCGACGTCTTTATTTGACACAACTCAGTAAATCATAAGCGTGACGATTGGACAAAAATACTTTTTGACGTGTATCATGATAAATGGGCACTGCTTACCAAAACGATATAATTATCGACTCCCTGTTAATATACAGACTGGATCTCATATGTATATGTATATTCCAATCAAGGACATGCGTGTGTACGGTCTCTAAAGCTTGGACAACAGCAACTGGCATTTCTCAGATTGATATATAATTATATACAAACAGACAACATTTTCGAGTGATCTGAGTAAATGACACAAAGCGGCTGAGAAGAGAGATATGTGTAATTATCTGACAATGGCGTGATTAGGTTTACATATACCCAATACCCGGCTGAAAGAGTAAGACATGCTCGGCCTTGAAGGATAATTATCTGTAATTGCGTTTAGAGATGTATCGACTGCTGGATTCCCACAGGTAGAAATTAAGCGTAAATACACCCGGGCAAAATATACAAGTATATACCGACGTTTGATGGTGGTAATGAAGAAACAAACAAGTCTATGGTTATTCGATGGTTATGTATCGGATACCACAATTGTATTTCACGCATTAGTTATGTTGTGTTTTGGCGAGTGTTTCCAGCCGAGTAGGGCTCGCAGAACCTTTGTATTTGGCCAAATCCAATTGTGTATAGTTTGTTTTAGCTCAGCACTGTAGTGCAGGCATTTAGTTCGTATGAACAGAGAATGACGACGCAGCTACAAGTAACCTGTATTTCTCACCGTTCTAGATACTTCCGTTTTAAATCCACTAAGTAGTAATTTGGTTATGGGATTTGAATATGAATTATTGTTCGGATTAATTTCACGCGAACTGTATTCGCTTTCCATTGAATCGAAACATGTTCAGATTCATGTCATTTTTTGTTATCATAAATTAATTATAACCTTTACTATGGTTAATTAACCTTAACCTTAACTCCCATTCTTTAACATTGCACTTAGGTTACCTTAGTGACTTAAGATCACCTTAGTGCTTTGTGAAAGGGTCCCCTGGTCATTACCTTTACGTAACAGTATCAACAACATCATTGACCTCATCAGTTATTGAGGGAAACTCGACTTTACAACACACCTTTGTGGGCAATCTAGTGTATAAACAACCCAGTATGTATCAGATATTAACAGTTGGTCGTCAGTTATGCATGTTTATCTTGAACTCCAGTTTCTTTTTCTCACATTTTCAAAAGGAATCATGTAATATTATCAAGTCTTTCAAATTTCGTGTAACTACAACTTGGAAAAGAGTATGACCGCAAAGCACGTTGATCGGTTGGAAAATTTTAATCTCTTAAACCTAATCCCCGGGTTTTTAATATTAGATTTGCTGATTAAAGAGAAGATCACTGCCCATCTCATGTGAATCTCTGTCCTCTCACGCTGAATCAGGGATATTGACAGGCTTATTAAATGTCGTGTTAAACCACACTAATACCCAGAAACATTGCCCCAATTCTTTCCATACACATAAACACCTCACCGGATTTGTCTCAGCTCCATGCAGCGTACACCGTATGGATTTGCCGTTGCACGCGGTAGCTTGTGATGCAGCGAGTTTAATCGACTACCTTTCGTAAAATCGTACTTTATTGAAAATTCCAGGCTCTTGTCATTTGATGTACTGCATTTAATTATCGCTGAATAGCGCACTGCTTGTAATTCTCTTTCCTTTTTGAGAGTCGTTACAACTTTGGATCGCGGAAAATTTGGATAAAATTTCGAAAATTAATCAATGTGGATTTATTGATTGTGCACTTTCGCATCAATATCGACCGCATAACCATGTATTAGATTAAAAACGCGATCTTTACTGCCATTGCCGTCGATGGACCTGGGCAAAAGTGGTTGAAGTTATTTCCCTTACACTTGTTAGGATCTGCTGTTCCCCGATTATTATCCGTGGTTTGTCGGCGCTTCATCTGTATTCAGGATCAAAGTGGTCAAGGTCATCAACAGGGTGCGAAATAGTTTCCAAATGTTGATAGCCAGTCGGGATAGCTATGAAAGTTGCTAGCCCACAAAATAATTCAGGGATCACTAGCCCGAAATGTAGACACGGTTTGCATCAATAAGCTGCTAGTATGATGAACATTTTTATCAGGCCATCATCTTGCATGATTTAAAAGTGTGTTATAAATTAACAAGCCGGAGAGAGTGATATATTAACAAAATGACCCTATGAAATTTCACTAGCCAGTCGGGCCAGCGGAGATTGTCGAGATTACTGGCCCGATTGTTTTTTTTCACTAGGCCACGGGCTAGCGGGCTAGTGACTATTTTGCACATTGGTCATCAACCTGTGTCAGTGATTCCTTGCATCTCATTCAACATTCATTACCCGAAGAGCAAAATAAACTGTACCTGTTTGTTGATATGCTTGATTTAAGAAACATCTTAAGTAAAGAATATTATATCCGAACAAGAAACTTTAACAAACTAATGAGCGCTTAGTCCGCCCTCAACGAATACTTTAACATGGCTTTATTTTACTTAAAACTTTGAGAGTTGTTTTTAAACATGGCAAAATGCACAACTGTTCATTGGCATATCTTACATCATATATTCAAAATCAATGTTCCCTTCGTAATTCCCAAATTTCAAATTTACCATGCCACATTGAGGGGGCATGTGGTTGAAATTCATTTCATATCCCAGTGTTCACTGAACCAATATATTTTTACACACAATTACCAAGCCACAGATCTTTACAAATTGTTGCAGGAATGACTGACGTTTAAATAGACTAAATCAAATTTAACAACAGTTTTTCAATTGTCAATTACATAAAAAGCGGAGTCGATATACTTTCTTTTTCCTCTCAGACGATATTCACCACGAGATAACTCGATAACTTCCAAATTTAAATAAATTGATTCTCCATTTGAGAGAAGACATTCCCTAATTCAGCCTGTCGACACATACCAATACCTCCACGATAGCAGTGAGTATCGGTTTAACACCAGTGTCCATGTGACGCCACGTTGAGAGGCCAGTGTGATACATTCATGTCTTAACCATAGGGGCGTGTCTCGCTTAGAAACAGCGTTAGAAAGACACACAGGTGTATAGACCCTTCCCTATTACTATATATAAGTAATAGGGTAGGGTCTGTACACCTATATGTCTTTCTAACGCTGTTTCTAAGCGAGACAAGTAATAGGGTAGGGTCTGTACACCTATATGTCTTTCTAACGCTGTTTCTAAGCGAGACAAGTAATAGGGTAGGGTCTATACACCTATATGTCTTTCTAACGCTGTTTCTAAGCGAGACAAGTAATAGGGTAGGGTCTATACACCTATATGTCTTTCTAACGCTGTTTCTAAGCGAGACAAGTAATAGGGTAGGGTCTATACACCTATATGTCTTTCTAACGCTGTTTCTAAGCGAGACAAGTAATAGGGTAGGGCCTATACACCTTTATGTCTTTCTAACGCTGTTTCTAAGCGAGACAAGTAATGGGGTAGGGTTTGTACACCTATATGTCTTTCTAACGCTGTTTCTAAGCAGAGACAAGTAATAGGGGTAGGGCCTATACACCTTTATGTCTTTCTAACGCTGTTTCTAAGCGAGACAAGTAATAGGGTAGGGTCTATACACCTATATGTCTTTCTAACGCTGTTTCTAAGCGAGACAAGTAATAGGGTAGGGCCTATACACCTATATGTCTTTCTAACGCTGTTTCTAAGCGAGACAAGTAATAGGGTAGGGCCTATACACCTATATGTCTTTCTAACGCTGTTTCTAAGCGAGACACGCCTCTATGTTCTTAACATACATCATAGCGTGGATGTACAGATACACTACAGGACAAAAACATGTACTCCCATGCTTGATGGTGACTAAAGATGAAACAAACAAGACACGGTTATTTGGAGCTGACGTATTTGATACGGATGTCATAGTTGTGATGTGTCTCGTGCATTTAAAGAGTTTCGGTGACTGTTTTCAACCTGGTAACGTTTTGTTGACGTCAAATCCAATAAACACACGTGTACTCTCTTCTACATGGGTGATACTTTGTACGGTATGTGTTACATGTGTAACGGATGCATGTCTGATCTTCAGTCTGTGGCACCCGACCGGCGGTGTACCCGAACCCGCTAAGGATTGTGGGAGGGGACGAGGTGCGGCCTGGGACGTGGCCCTGGTTGGTCTCCCTCCACGGGGGCTCGGGCCAGAAGTTCTTCTGTGGGGGCAGCGTCATCAATGAACTGTTCATCCTGACTGCGGCCCACTGTATTGGGGAGGGTAAGTCCTGCATTCGATATTTCAAGGATACGGATGGTCCTGTGGTCTGATTACCATGTTTGTGTAGAGTTGCTTCGCTTAGCTGCAAATGGATCCGCGGATTGCTTTTTTCAGAAACAGATTGTCTTCAAGTGTCTGTTTTCACCTTCCCAATGTTCTTGTGTTTCAACAATCGTGACCCCCAACAACCTTTTCTTCCCACGTGTTAACGCTGACATTGCCGTAGTATCACTACAATACCGTGTAGTGGCCTCAACATTAACCTACAACTATTTGAAGGACACTTTCATAAACAAAAAGTCCATCAAAGTAAAATAGAAGTTGTATTTGAACACAAACATGTGCGTTTAGAAGATGGTATGATGAACAAGGGAGATATTTCTATGTGGATATACAACTTCTTTATCACAATATATACAACGTTTCGGTGTAGACGCTGACACTGTTATCAAGCAAGTGATATATATTACTGCGGGTGAAGCATTTATATACATGAGTAAAGTTATGTTTGTACAAGAATGTATTTCCACAGAACAATTTCCAATGTTCTAACGGTATATGTGGCTGGGTATCAATAAAGTACAAGCAAACATCGTCCGGCCTGCATGCATACAAATCAAACCACAGTCCGCTCTCTGTCAGTATCTGCCCACTACGCAGGACCTTCATACTCACAAACTGTACTTCAGAAAATAATAGGATGATCTTTTTCTCGAATATCCAATATCATCCCAACCTCCGCATTAGTATCTAGATGTTTTGTTTTTGGGTTTCATTTTGACATCTAGGACATTTTCTAAAAAACATCTCGACATCATTCAGAACGGATGTTAGTTAAACACATTGACAGCAGTTATTCTGTTTGCATGTAGCGGTGTGCCGTTTCTACAGTGGACTATTCAAGCCGGACACACGCGGAAAGACACCTACTCCAGATACCGACAAGTCAGGAAAGGACTGAAGTTTTTCACCTACCCTGGCTACAACCACTACACTGTTGAGAACGACATCGCCATCATCATGTTGGACGAGCCCCTCACTTTCAGTGACTACCTGCGACCAATCTGTCTTCCCAAGCAGGGCCAGGTGATACCTGTCGGGACGAGGTGCATCTCTGCAGGCTGGGGCAAGTCCAGTGATACAGGTACCAGCTTTATGTAGCTTAGCCCTGTTAACACCTCCTTTTACTACTTCCTGATTTTCGTTCTGAATTCAACACGACCATATGTTTTTGATACTTTCACTGAATCATTGTACTGACGTTTGCATCGTAGCTTGGCCTTCATTTGAAGTGACCACTGCAGTTCATTGGCGGACCCAGAGGAGGGGTGCAGGGGTGCGCACCCCCTGTTTTGTCCTGAAAGTTTATTAAATGACCATTGAAACTCACGGGAAAATGAAGTGTACACCCACTCTTTCTCAAAAGTGTGCCCACCCACCCCTTCTCAAAAAGCTGTATCCGCACTTGTGCATGACACTACTTACAAGTACATTTTTTCATCGGTTATTTACTAAAATAAGTTGTACTTGTCATAGTGGCGATTGACAGCCGAATGGTCAGGCTGACTTGTTGATGCATGCAATCGTATCCCAACTGCATAGATCGATGCTGTTGATGTCAATCAGGGGATTATCTCGTCCAGGCTCGATTTGTTTACAGATCGTCGTCATATACCTGGAATAATGCTGAGCATATCTTTAAAAACAAACAAACAAATATAATTTAAATAAAAACACGTTGTACATAACTCATATCGTATTAAGTGTATTATATTGATGGTCAGTTGCGCTGAGTATCCAAATTCCAAACTTTGTTATGAAATATGCACATGTACAAAGTATCCTAATGATGTTTCCAGCCTTGGACTACGAGCCTGCAGCCCGCCAGGTACAGTTGGACATTGCTGACTGGCACAGCTGTGAGGCGGTTGTCCAGCGGGCAGAGAAGCAGGTGCCCTACAAACTGACCGATAACATGATCTGTGCTGGGGGGTCGGATGGATTTGACGCATGCGCGGTAAGATCATATGTGTATGTTCATGTGGTAATAATATGATTTATTGTTAGGACCACGGCCCCAATTTACAAAGTGGACTTTGCAACGAGTGTCGTTAGTGTTAAAGGAGAATACGAACGAAAACAAAACTTTTGATATGTTGTAATGGATAATCTAAAAGTCACCTTCCGTGATTAAAATTGAGCAAAAGGTTTGTAAAATAGCAATAAAAACACAAAAAACGTACTCGTACTTCCGCCTATTACGGAAACACCCGACAGTTAATGAGCAGAGGGGTATCACGTGACAGGACGTCATATGTACCTGTTGCTGATGGCTTCCTCTTTGATTTTACCTCACAACTTAACAGTGACCATGGATTCTGAAGCTGTAAAACTTGTTCCTGGTGTCATTTCTGAATTTATCAATACGATCCGATTTTACATCTTGCCAGACAATCTTCCAGTGAAGACGAAAAGAGTGAGTGAGTGAGTGAGTTGAGTTTTACGCCGCACTCAGCAATTTTCCAGCTATATGGCGGCGGTCTGTAAATAATCGAGTCTGGACCAGACAATCCAGTGATCAACAGCATGAACATCGATCTGCGCAATTGGGAACCGATGACGTGTCAACCAAGTCAGCGAGCCTGACGAAGACGAAGAAGAAGAATCAAGCGAAACGGAGGCACCGATTGAGGTCAAAATAAATTTAAATAATTTAATAGACCATATCGTTTAACAAGAATACTATTTGTCAGCAAAATGTGATACAGTTCCAACCAGCAAACCCACCCCTATAAATATATGACCAGTCCCTAAGAATTATTTAAAAAAAAATGTGTTGCAGTCCTTTTGTGTAGGGTCAGTCGGCGGAAAAATAGAAATTATTTGCTACAAAAATTACAAAGGAATTATTTTGTTGAAAAAATTAGGATCCTAGTTCTCATTAATAACGTATCAAGTCTCCATACAAGATCCCAGCCTGGTCAAGCAGAGATAATATTCGCGACGCAGATAGGTTATTCCCCGAAAACTGGTGAATTATAAAATACTAGTCAGGACAATGCATGTTTCCCCAGTGTATGTTTATTGAAATAGTTATGATACTCTGTCTTGGCCTTAGAATGACATCCTGTCAGCCAATGAGAATACAGAACAACTTTCACGGCACACACTACTGACAAATAACGAGTCTGATGCCGACGTAATTGGACAAAATGGAAAACAATGAAAGCAACAAGTACTTCATGATTTGTCGTTGTATTCGGCAATGTTTCGGGTAGACTGCAGCATTTAGGGCTCCAAACCGAAAAAACGTTATAGCGGAACATTTTCAAGCTCATGTGAAATCTCTTACTGATTTTAATAATATATCTCATGGTTACCAGTCGAACTGCCCCAGCTACAAAATGCCCCAGCAAATTTAGTCATTCATTCTAATTTGGTCAAATTTATTTAAAATGATTAAACATATGCCCTAAATGCATAGTTTTTGTCAACTTTGATATTATGTCCTTTATATAAAGGTTATTACCAAGTAATATTTCTGATAAATGTTCCATTGGTAAACTCATAACTATGTATATACGTTTATATGAAGAACATAATATCAAAGTTGACAAAACTATGCATTTATGGCCTATATTTAATCATTTTAAATATATTTGGGAATATTGACTACCCCCTGGGGCAATTTGACCAAAACAGGGGCAATTTGACTTAATTTGCTGGGGTAATTTGTAGCGAGAGCAATTCGACTGGCAATCGGACTTATGTTAAAAATACCACTGACAGCAAGTTTAACATCGAATGATGGAGTTTAAATTAATCTCGTGGGTACTTCTTCCTTCTTCAGCCTAGCTTTGGGATTTTCATTTCCCATGTGTGCATGTCTCTTTCATATGCGTCCTCCTGGGAATGATCGGAGCGTTTCTCCTGCCTAATCTGTCTCTTTACTTGGAAAACGGAAGAAATGGTGGCTCTTTCCATTGTTCGATGATTCCGTGCATCCCAGGCAACGGAATACACCATCGTACCATTTACAAAAACGACAGAAACGACACGATTTGTATTACTGTAGCGCTTGTTTTTTGGCAATATGGCGGGCGCTTGTCACATATGACGTCACGAGCAGAAAGGTCACGTGAGTTCCAGCGAATGTGCACAATGCCCGAAGCTCAGATAACAGAAACTGTTTTCGCGATAAAAGCATAATAAACCGTATGTTTGAAATAAAATTGGGGTACATGTTTCTCATGACTTTATCTTTCCCCCAGCAAATTATTGCAATTGTCTAGTATTCTCCTTTAATGGATGAGGGGTGGGCCAAACCCAGTCGTCCGAGGCGCCGCAATTCGATGTGCTAGTTTGCATCCTTTGGGCACAACAGAAAAACTATGACTTGGGTTCGAATCCCGGTCCTCAACTCCCTTTCCCGATTATGTTGGTAGGTGTGTCCCACGCAGAAACCTGGAAAAGAATAAAGGAAGACTTGCACTTTCATGTGTTCCCTTATAAGTTTCCATGAGTATATATATAGTACATTTGTAGAGTAATGGTTAGGGTGCATTGACTTGACCATGTTCTTGCACTTGCAGGGCGACAGTGGCGGTCCGTTCGTGTGTATGAAGCCCAACACAACCGACGTGTGGTTCCAGGCGGGGATAGTGTCGTGGGGGATAGGGTGCGCCATCCCTAACGCCCCGGGAGTATACACGGAACTTCCCCTTTATGTTAACTGGATAAACGAGGTAATCTCCAACAACACCGACCCCTCGTGATGGACGTGGACTACGGGAGACGCTGAGGATGGGAGGGAGTGACCACTCCCACTCCGTCAGCTGAACAACTTGCTCAAACTCTAGAATCAGAAACATGTCCTATTACAATAAAGGTTGCATTATTGCCATACAGAATAACTAATGACACTGAAGCCCCAAACATGGATACCCATGAGGGGCAGGATTCTTCTAACACCAGCAGAACTGGTATTTCCGTGTTGTGCATTCGAGGTATAACTATGACACCATAATGGATTGTGTCTGTTGACGGTTTTATATGGAGCTGTGGCGATGACATCATCAACACGTTAACACAGCGTCAGTGTGTCAAGCATGAAACATGCCGCCGAACGTTTCCTGAATATTTCATTAACCTGGCTATGACGCAAACAGTTAAGCATCAAAATAACGGCATTTGTCGGTGTGTGATTCCACTCTCGGCTACCACTGCAAGGAGCTGCTATTACATGCTACATTCTGACGTGATGCCAAACAGCATTCAGGGGAAAGCCTGTTGAAAGTACATTTGGTGGCACATATTGGTAATTAACATTTCAGAGCCATTTTTGCATTTCAGTTGAATCTATATTCCCTCAATGCACGGGTGTGATTCTCCTGTTTCAGTGGACAGTGGTGTAATGTGAGCCCTGTCTTTGGTTGGCTGTAAAAATGTTATTTCACATTAGACTGAGCCTGCATTGTGGATAGTATCATGCGTTTGAATCATATTGATTATGTTTTGTACATTTAATGTCAACTCAGCAAATGCCACATCCGGGTATTTCTGTTTCGGTTGCACACGCATGCGCAGTAAATGTTGTAGGTTGTGAGACAGTATTGTCATACATTATTTGAAACCAAATTACTACCTGATATGATATGGTCCAAGACTGACCTTCAGCTGGTTGAAACACAATAACGTTATATACCCTTGTTTTTTACGAAAGGCTAAACATGTGTTTTGTTCGTAATCATTAAGTGTGTTTCATATGAGGTCATGTATGTAACTTGATTTCAGTTTCGATGCATTTGTTTTCAAAATGTTCAATATGAGTAAACATGTTCGGGTTTTAGAGAGGACTGTTAACACAGATATAGTAATTGGGAGTCAATACTCATCCCATGCACGTCCACACCACCATTGACGTCTACACGTCCGTGCAAGGAGACTGACACCTGACCCCGTACCTTACTGCAGTCAAACAATTAGCTAACGACCTGTGTGTACAGCATAACTTCCGTTGGTACTGTCAGGGATCGTTTCAAAAGTCACCTTTGCATTATATTTGTCTTTAATTACTTAAATGAATGATAACAGTTTAGTGTAAAGATGGTTCTCTAGGACTCTGAACCAGGGTACCGATCCACAAAGCATTCGTAACCTTACGACCTGTCGTAACTCAACAGTTTATCATAGGTTTACGAATGTCGTAGTGCTACGAACGTTCTGTGGATCGGGCTTCAAGAATGCAATCCCAGCACCTTTAGGTGTCAGTGTTCTTTAAACAATGTCACGTGTCGTCTTCGTGATTGGACAATTGGACCATTTTACAAAACTGATATTTTGTTCCGGTCGTAACCTGTTAAGAAGTATGATTGTGCAAATAGCGTTCAGATATTATTTTTATCATTCTCATATCCCTAAATCCTTATAGGAACTTGTACTTTCACGTGACTCACATGACATTCGGATTCGTGATCCTGTTGTTTATTTGATAGTCTCTCGGTTGTACTCTCAAGATGAAGGTATTTTACTGTTTTTTTCAAGAGAATATGTTTTCAAATTCGTCAAATTCTAGGCGGCATGATTTGGAGGTACTTCGATAACGGTGACGTATAACTACGCCAGTCAGCCAAGGTACGTACCGACGGCAGTTTCAAGAACTCGTTTTACAGTTCAGGCTTCATTCTGTCATATTCGTCAGTCAACGTTGTCGCCATACGTCACCCCCATTAACGTGAATCTTGATCAGTTTGGGCAGTATATGTATTAACGCCATGTTCACACGTCAGTTATGTATATCACCTTAATAATCACCGGTAGTATAGAACTTGAAGGTTAGTGACGAAAATATCTACATTCATGTATCACATGGATCGCCTTCCAACATAGCGCCACGCTTAACAATGATTCGTACTTACAGCCAATCTCCGTCGCAGAATGACCTTGACCTTGGCATTCGATCAACGTACAAGATAGGACATTTCTTTGCACGACTTCGCAATATAGAAAACTGCAAATAACGTAACAAAGGAGTCATTTCCCCGACTGACATTGGAAGCATTTTACAAAGCTACACAAAAGAGCCGTTTTGGGCAAACACAACAAACGCATGTCAGACAAATGGATAAGTAAGTACGTAAAACTCATTCAAGTGTCTAGTGTCTGTTATGTGACCAGTCATCGATGTTGACTGTGAGTTGTGACGTTCGTGACTAAAACGAGCCATGTGACGTGAATTCGTGATGTTATATTTCACCAAGACATACTCTGTGACACGAAAACGTGGCGTGTTTTCTTCCAGACCTTGCAAAATAGGTACGCCATTCTCGAATACAGTGAAACCTGGCTAATCCGAACAAGTACCCAATGCAATCGTCCGGATTATAGAGGATTTGAAGTAATGATATTTTCTCTCTACACTGCACATAATGTTTCGCAAGGGCCTGTATCTCGTTCAACAAGTCGATCTTAGACAAGACTACCGCAGTTAATTAGCCTCGACGCTAGGATCGCTTTATGGAACCGGACCGTGGTAACGGTATTTGTGTTCAATCTCATGGGGTGCCCGACCATCGGCCCCTAGGGAAGTCCCCGTCAGTAGCCACAGCCCCTATTGTGCAATGCATGCTTGGTGTAAGGTTCACCTGTCCGCCTTTATATACTATGGCGAATCCCCTTGTATTTTCTCTTTGCATTTTGTCATATTTTTAAAGTTTATCATGTGTCATTAATATTGTTATAACAGTTCATATATTTTGTCCATGTTACGTAGAGTATTTGTATTCATTATCAATCAGATTTTTATTACCGCATATATGTTTAAATACACTATAGATACTTTTTCAAACAGTTTATTTTAGAAGATTACGTGTGTATAAAAGCGTTGTAATTAATCAGTACATTAAAATTGCTTGAAACACAATATTCAGATTTTGTCACTCGGAATGTTATTTTTACTGCTCTAAACAGCAGCTTATCTTACAGCATATTGTTCATCTTGGAAAATGTTTACAGTTTTGATATTTTCGCAAGAATCACAAGGATCCCAGCAATGGAGCCACCTAAATCTGATTCGGTGTTAAACAAGAGCGCGACGACACCGTTGTTTCGATCATACAAGGTGGTCGTAACTTTGTCTTTAAGTGATACCGGTATCCTCCGAAGATATGTTCCCCCGCAACCATCCTACTGACGATTCCCAGATCTTGTTGACAATACCATGGCCGAAATGAATGCTTCTTCCCGATATGAAAATGTAATTTGGTTAAAAATAATAAAAATGTGAAAGAAATTTCCCAAGACACCACTGCTGGCGAGTATACTCGACATGTTATCTTTGAAAATCAATGAATTTGTGTTTTTTTCGGCACATAACTGCTTCAAACATAACAGGGAGCATGTGGTTACAAGGTCATTCCTACCCCAGTCTTCTTTGAACCAGTCTATTTTTACACAATCTTACAAAGCCACAGATAAGGTTTTCCAAGCTCATGTAAAAATAAGTATCAGGTGAACAGACACAATCGAACTTAAAAGCAGCTCTTTCATTTTTCAGTTACATGAAAACCTTAGTCCTATACTTTCTTTTGAGTCTCAGTATATACATCCTAAAAAAAAAGAAATACCTGTATGTCATTCTCAAGAGATTCATTCTGTGACATATACAATGTTGATTACAAATTCAAGCGAAGACTTTGTATTTGTCGGTTTCATTACTAGCATGACAGTCGTAAAACCTACTATCATGTATGTCAACCACTGGAGTGAATGACTGCATACTACCACGTGTGTCAACCACTGGAGTGAATGACTGCATACTACCACGTGTGTCAACCACTGGAGTGAATGACTGCATACTACCACGTATGTCAACCACTGGAGTGAATGACTGCATACTACCACGTGTGTCAACCACTGGAGTGAATGACTGCATACTACCACGTGTGTCAACCACTGGAGTGAATGACTGCATACTACCACGTGTGTCAACCACTGGAGTGAATGACTGCATACTACCACGTGTGTCAACCACTGGAGTGAATGACTGCATACTACCACGTGTGTCAACCACTGGAGTGAATGACTGCATACTACCACGTGTGTCAACCACTGGAGTGAATGACTGCATGGAGTGAATGACTACCACCACGTGTGTCAACCACTGGAGTGAATGACTGCATACTACCACGTGTGTCAACCACTGGAGTGAATGACTGCATACTACCACGTGTGTCAACCACTGGAGTGAATGACTGCATACTACCACGTGTGTCAACCACTGGAGTGAATGACTGACTGCATACTACCACGTGTGTCAACCACTGGAGTGAATGACTGCATACTACCACGTGTGTCAACCACTGGAGTGAATGACTGCATACTACCACGTGTGTCAACCACTGGAGTGAATGACTGCATACTACCACGTATGTCAACCACTGGAGTGAATGACTGCATGTTACCACGTGTGTCAACCACTGGAGTGAATGACTGCATACTACCACGTGTGTGTCAACCACTGGAGTGAATGACTGCATACTACCACGTGTCAACCACTGGAGTGAATGACTGCATACTACCACGTGTGTCAACCACTGGAGTGAATGACTGCATGTTACCACGTGTGTCAACCACTGGAGTGAATGACTGCATGTTACCATGTGTGTCAACCACTGGAGTGAATGACTGCATGTTACCACGTGTGTCAACCACTGGAGTGAATGACTGCATACTACCACGTGTGTCAACCACTGGAGTGAATGACTGCATACTACCACGTGTGTCAACCACTGGAGTGAATGACTGCATGTTACCATGTGTGTCAACCACTGGAGTGAATGACTGCATGTTACCACGTGTGTCAACCACTGGAGTGAATGACTGCATGCTACCACGTGTGTCAACCACTGGAGTGAATGACTGCATACTACCACGTGTGTCAACCACTGGAGTGAATGACTGCATACTACCACGTGTGTCAACCACTGGAGTGAATGACTGCATGTTACCACGTGTGTCAACCACTGGAGTGAATGACAGCATGTTACCACGTGTGTCAACCACTGGGCTGAATGGGCTTCCAAGTGTGTCAACCACTGGAGTGAATGACTGCATGCTACCACGTATGTCAACCACTGGAGTGAATGACTGCATGCTACCACGTGTGTCAACCACTGGAGTGAATGACTACATGTTACCACGTGTGTCAACCACTGGAGTGAATGACTGCATGCTACCACGTGTGTCAACCACTGGAGTGAATGACTGCATACTACCACGTGTGTCAACCACTGGAGTGAATGACTGCATACTACCACGTGTGTCAACCACTGGAGTGAATGACTGCATGCTACCACGTGTGTCAACCACTGGAGTGAATGATTGCATGTTACCACGTATGTCAACCACTGGAGTGAATGACTGCATACTACCACGTGTGTCAACCACTGGAGTGAATGACTGCATGCTACCACGTATGTCAATCACTGGAGTGAATGACTGCATGCTACCACGTGTGTCAACCACTGGAGTGAATGACTGCATACTTCCACGTGTGTCAACCACTGGAGTGAATGACAGCATGCTACCACGTATGTCAACCACTGGAGTGAATGACTGCATGCTACCACGTGTGTCAACCACTGGAGTGAATGACTGCATGCTACCACGTGTGTCAACCACTGGAGTGAATGACTGCATGCTACCACGTATGTCAACCACTGGAGTGAATGACTGCATACTACCACGTGTCAACCACTGGAGTGAATGACTGCATGCTACCACGTATGTCAACCACTGGAGTGAATGACTGCATGTTACCACGTGTGTCAACCACTGGAGTGAATGACTGCATGTTACCACGTGTCAACCACTGGAGTGAATGACTGCATGTTACCACGTACCACGTATGACTGCAACCAACCACTGGAGTGAATGACTGCATAACACGTATGTCAACCACTGGACGAATGACTGCATGTTACCAACCACTGGAGTGAATGACTGCATGTTACCACGTGTGTCAACCACTGGAGTGAATGACTGCATGTTACCACGTATGTCATCCACTGGAGTGAATGACTGCATGTTACCACGTGTGTCAACCACTGGAGTGAATGACTGCATGCTACCACGTGTCAACCACTGGAGTGAATGACAGCATGCTACCACGTGTCAACCACTGAGTGAATGACTGCATACTACCACGTGTGTCAACCACTGGAGTGAATGACTGCATGCTACCACGTGTGTCAACCACTGGAGTGAATGATTGCATGTTACCACGTATGTCAACCACTGGAGTGAATGACTGCATACTACCACGACCACTGGAGTGAATGACTGCATGCTACCACGTATGTCAACCACTGGAGTGAATGACTGGAGTGAATGACTGCATACTACCACGCATACTTCCACGTGTGTCAACCACTGGAGTGAATGACTGCATGTTAACACGTGTGTCAACCACTGGAGTGAATGACAGCATGCTACCACGTATGTCAACCACTGGAGTGAATGACTGCATGTTACCACGTGTGTCAACCACTGGAGTGAATGACTGCATGTTACCACGTATGTCATCCCCTGGAGTGGATGACAGCATGTTACCACGTATGTCAACCACTGGAGTGAATGACTGCATACTACCACGTGTGTCAAACACTGGAGTGAATGACAGCATGCTACCACGTGTGTCAACCACTGGAGTGAATGACTGCATGTTACCACGTGTGTCAACCACTGGAGTGAATGACAGCATGTTACCACGTGTGTCAACCACTGGAGTGAATAAAGCATGAAGCATGGGGCATGGAACTTTGGACATGTTGTGGAATGATAGCCTGTTGTCCCTGAAGAGCGTGGCGGAATTGCTGCAGATTCAGAGTCAATGTTTGACGTAAACGTCTGTCCTGCACATACCACAATCAATATGTTTCTCATTTTGGAGAGATCCGGTGTCTTTGGACGCTACGACAGTATGTATATATACTTTTGTCAAGTGCCAAGGTTTACTTATATATGCGGAATCCCGGATCCATTTCGATTCCATCCATGGCTTGATATCCGTGTTCGTTAGTTTCAGCAAAGTTGTAAGCGTCGACCCCAGCATCGCTATGCTATTTCCTCCCATATTATAAAAGTTAGACACTCTGGGAAGTGACATAAAACCAAGCTCAGTGGGAGGGTTTGATCTATAATGTTGCAAACATTTCTCGTTATTTGCAGATTACTTACAGATCCCTACGACTCCTCGTCCCCTGTCGCCCCATTGTTACTCCTTGCTGTGCACACCAAGAAACACTGCCTGACAGACTTTGCCCATCGATCGTTTATAATCCATTCCCTTCTGTTCGGTAGTTTCACAGCTCAAAGACAAATTTAAATGTTAATGCCTGAGAGATTTTAAATCCCTGTCACTTGTAGAACATCAGGCAACGAAAAACTGAAGCGCAAATACACACAGTATAAATGTATCCTTGTTCACAGCAACAGTGCAGCTCTACAGCTTGTATCAAACACAATTCCATATTCCAACTGGAATGTGTCTTGCTATAGCTGTGATATATCTGGGCATTATTGCGTAATTTATTATAGGGATTGTTCTGGGATTGTTCTGGGATTGCTCTGGCATTGTTCTCTTAGTGCAGAACTGAAGGCAACAGGCCCACATTGCAAGTATATACGATGTTTAACAACATGCCTCTCCATAAGAGCATGGGTGAGAGTATGGTTTTACGCCACTTTCAGCAATATTCCAGCAATATCACGGCAGGGGGCACCAGAAATGGGCTTCACACATGCTACCCATGTGAGGAATCGATCTCGGGTCAACGCATTAACTATAAGGTTATATGGTATATATTTCCTTCTAAGATACAATAATGATTACAAATTAGTAGAACATGCTATTCGTGGCAG